CATTTTAAGAAACTGTTCGACTTATAGTATTTTACTTAAAAAGCTACCTACAAAAAGTAAAAAATAAAAACCCTTTTAAAGATTATTTATATTCACACTTTATAAAAAAAAAAAAAAAAAATAATAAATATGCATCTGATAATATTATGTAACACATAATACTAGATAACAGTTTTTAAAAAGCGTGGCGAAACCCAACGACCGATCAGAAAGCTAAAATGATAACCGATACCGAGACCGACCCCAGAACACTAATACGCCGTCCCGGCCGCACGTCTACTGTTTTTCCGACAACAATCGAACCTGCGGTGGGAGGGTCGAAGTCGAACGCGAGATTGACGGATCCGTCGTCGCGTGATGGAAACGTATTGTTATCGGTGCGCTCGTTATTATATCCGAACCCCCGTAAAACAACCCAATAATTGGTCCTCGGATCCCGTACGTTTTATATTTTTTTTTTCGCCACGCGTCGACGTCCACTCGGTTATGTGACATCGACGTTGCGCTTGTGGCGTTTGACGTTTTTTGACGATGCGACGAACACGTCGTCCCCGTCGGCGATCGAACCGTATAAATATATATTAATGTGCGCGTAACGTCGGACCGTACACGGAGGACGGACACGGAGTCCAATTATTTCCGGTCCGGACGACTGCGCGCGCGCGCGTTCCGCGAAAAGTTATGGTCGTTATCGTGCGCGGGGATGGTCTGCGGGGGTGGTGACAGGAGGACGACGACTAGGCGAAGACCGATATTAAACGTAACGAAGGCTCGGCCCGCGGGGACGGGGCAGAGGGTTGTTTTGTCGTCCGCGACGTGTCCGGCCCACGTCATTAGCGGACACGGTCGGGAAGAACGACGTGCTGCGGACAGCTACTTCCGGCCCATCGGTGACCGCGCGCAAAACTTTTCCGGCCGCTCCGGCCTTTTTCCGAGCACCGGTTTCACAGGGACACGTTCGGCCGTTAAGTTTCGTTCGCGCGCACCGGTGCATCGCACGGAACCGCGTTAAGCCATGTGGCCGCGCCCCGGGGGCGAATTATAATATACCACCCTTAAGAAAATCACAATTCGAAATAAAAAATAATGTACGTACCTATTACAGTTGTACGGTCATAGAAGAAAAATTATAACTATGCATTATTTATTTTATGTCGATCGTCAAAAGTTTGCCGCTCCGGGGCGATTGCACACCGTTAAACGCGGCTCTCGCGACGCACGGCCCGGCCGGCAAAGGACCGGAACGGGAAACGTGCTTGGTCCGAAGGCAGTGTACACTTTTTCCTGTCGGCATTTCGGCGTCGTTCGCGTCGGACGGAGTTCCGTGAAAACATGAACGCTCGTCGCCAGGGCCGCATTTAGGGGTGGGTGAGGGCACTGGCTAAAACTGCCCCGGTCGCCAGTTTTTTCGGGGGAACCAAAATTATGTGGTCGGAATTTTGCTCACTTGTGAAGTATTGAAATTTTAAAATTATTTTGAAAATATTACTTTTTTTTTTTTGTTTTCAATAACAGTATCATAAATCAATGTTGATGTATTTATAGCTATCAGCGATCCAGAATATTATTAATATATAATATTAGTTCCCAAATCCGTTGTGATAATGTCAATAAATATAGGTTATTTATAATCAGTGGCGTGGCGAACTCAACAATTTTCAGAGGCAAGTACATTTTGTCGACACCCACTCACAAGGCCGTATCTGGGGTGGGGGTGGTCCAGGGTGTCTGGACCCTCTGAAATTTCTTCAATATTCTGTTCAAAATACTTATTTGTTTTTAATACCAACATAAATATTTTCAGTCAAAAACGACTTAGGCTCCAATTAATCGTGGACTGCTTTAAATTTTATATCAAAATATCATATGAAAATACGATAGTAATTGTAATAAAAGAAGATTAAATCTTTTTCCGTCTTACTTTTAACCAAACATCAAAAGTTAAAATCTTAGTTCAACAGGATTACAACATACATGTTTTGGACCCCTCCCGAAAAAAATGTTTGGACACGGCCTAACCCACCCACCCACCCAAAAAACTGAGAGGCGGCCGCCTCTTGATTACCCATATCGCCACGCCACTGTTTATAATAATAAGGCGTGTTATGTTATCGCGGTGGCGTGCCTACTACTACAAAAAACAAAAAAAAAAAATAGCGTTGATTTTAGAATATCTAAAAGGTTCATGAGGATCTCCTCGTACATTTTCCGTGGGTAGGCCCCTCGGAGGGGCGCCGATTTTTTTTTTTTTTTTTTTTTTAAACGTCTAAATACGGCATTGCTCGTCGGTTTTCGATCGATAAACCGTTACGTGTTGTTGTCGTCGTACGTTTCCCGCGGCGAAACGAACGGAACCGTTGCGGACCCCTCGACGTTTCCGCGGCCGCACGCGGGGCCGTCATCGGTCCGTGTGGCGCGCTCTTTCCG